TGGAAACAAATTCAAACAATGAATTACGTTCGTGACTGTGGTGGAAACAATGAATCACGTTCGTGACTGTGGTGGAAACAATGAATCACGTTCGTGACTGTGGTGGAAACAATGAATCACGTTCGTGACTGTGGTGGAATCAATGAATCACGTTCGTGACTGTGGTGGAAACAAAGAATCACGTTCGTGACTGTGGTGGAAACAATAAATTCGTGAGAACTAAATAATCCAATCAATTCTGTGCAGTGGGTTCGTTATACAGCAGTGGGGGATTGCTATAACTAGAAACGGACAGAAAAGGGATCGTAATAATACTAGCAAATAACTGTTCCTTAAATTCTTTAGGCGCACCCTGAGTGGACGAGGTAGATCTGGTTTTTTCCATCGCAAGTATACCAATGCAACGATGCCACTACTGCTTACGATCCATCTGAAGAATCCATAGTAATCCAGCAGCGAATAAATATCGTCACTGAACACCAACAGGTATACGGATGTGATGAAAGACTGAAACAAATGTCAAAGAAAACCGCATTTAATGGCAGGCATTATATATATATATATCTGATATATATATATATATATATATATATATATATAGTAAAAATTATATATACGTGTATATAGTATATATAGGGCCTATAGGGTATATATAGCCTATAGGGCCTATAGGGTATATATATAGTAAAAATTAGATGTACGTACAATCACACACGATCACCCATGTAGGCCTAGATAAAAACACAACGTGTAAAAAATAGGAATAGAGTGTTTAAATTTTAATATGTGAGCTTTCGAGAAGTAGGTTCCCTATATCTCTTCATCAGGCTTTAAACTGACATTAGAATGGAACCGTTTATTATAAAACAAAAGTATTTTTGTTTTATATTAAACGGTTCTATTTTAATGTCTATACCAATTACCTTGTCTAATTATACGAGGTAATAGATTGTATTTATCTCTTAATCAGTTAATTAAGTTTACAGCGTAAGTTACAGCGTAAGTTACAGCGTAAGTTACAGCGTAAGTTACAGCGTAATTATCGTTATACATACCTATAAGATACTCTAACTTATTTGGGTCCACCAAGGTTACCAGATTAAATTAAATATAGAAAAGTACAAAGGTCAAAAAGAAAAGGTCAAGATCATTTCTAATATCAAGGCTAAAAGAAAGGTGAAAGAGAAAAAGATCAATGCCAATATCAATGACGAAGTCAAAGGGCAGCATCAAATATAAATGCTAAATTGTAGGCCCCAGATGAAGCCACAGAGGCAGATGATACCACTTGTTAAAGGTCAACTGATTTAAAGCTATATAACTCTGCCAAGTATAATTTGTTTTCCAGACTATTTAGACGTAAACGTGACCGTTTTAATTATAAAATAAGGAACGGCCATGTTTTACACAGAGTATCATTGCAGGGAAAGGCGTGTAGCGATGAACGCTGAGCATTCCTATGACGGAAGGCATGTGTCCTCCGTCCCTAGCACTCACGAAATATAACCTGTTATAACAAAAACGACTTGGTTGCGGATATTTGCAATATATGATATTGTAATGATAACACTGTATCGTTGAGCTGATACGGTTCTGATAGACGGTTAACTGCTGACAAGATAAGAATTATCTACTAATAATAACACGCGCCATAATAATAAAGAATGAGACACGCTTAGTAGATAATAACGTTATTAGATTTGTTAAGAATAAGGCAGCAGGTGAGTTTAATACCTATGAATTTTACAGTAACGTAACCAAAAATAGCGCATGAAAGAACTGATACAGATGTGTTTATTTCTTACCTTCCTGCCGTGAATATGTTAGAGTTGAGACTTCCCATCACAGAACACATTACCATTATTGGCATAATGATTGATATAGGTCCCATAGTTCGTTGCGCAAATACCTAAAATCACACGAGAGGTTTGCGATTTTATACATGCTTGGTGCCCGGTATCACATGTACCGCTAAGTAGTAGTTAAACTCATTTGGGCCGTGATAATAACGTAAACCAAACTAACGAACGCCACGTCTGACATTTTGTTCACGTAACCCCCTCATCATTTTCATGGAGCATTTTAATTCATAGCGAGTCGTCTGTGATCCCGATTCAATATAGGTTCATACCGCATATGCACGTATTTGTTCTGTCTCTATTGGGCGCAATAAAACCGTGAACTACTTGAGTTGAAAATTCGCATAGCCAACGTAAATGCCACAGATTATTCTTAAGCAGTGAGTCGACGACCAAACAATTTTTATTTTGACAGTACAGCATGGTAAACATCTTGGTGGTGCACCTAACTATACTACGTTTTATTTACTAAACAGATATGAATGATTAGATAAGTCAAATAAATATTGACAGTTATTTTACTAGCTGTATGAACATATGTACGTTCGTCGCAAGCAGTTGTTCGAATAAGCACAATCTATAGTCAAGTTTCCGAAATACGATTTTCCTGAACAGGTTGTAAATCTTCAGAGAATCTCGCTTGGTTGTCATATAATTATATAAATCGTCACTAACCGCAGCAACTAAGCAGTTAAGTAGCTTACCGCAGCAACAGCATTGCTTGTCAATACTTCTTCTTTTGTAAGAACCGTGAAGTAAGCAATGTTGGCTAATGTATACGCAGTGGTCACGATAGCTATGGAAATGTATATCGTCCTTGGAAGATCCCTGTAAGGAAGCATTATCTTTTCCGATTTCAGTGTGTTATATTTTGGCATGATAACAATAATAATAGTCCTTTACTAAAATAATAGCGAATATAAAAGTATGCAATTATTTACCAATTTATGGTCATTTATAAGAACGCGCCTACGTTATTTAATGAAATGTAAGTATTAGGTTTAACCTAGTGTCCCTTTATATCTGTATAAAGGGACTCTAGTTTAACCTAAAGCGGGCAGCACACTTCACCATTTTCGTTGCTCCTACAGGAAATTTTCGTGGTCGGCAATTTTTGTGGCCGTTAAAGCGGGCAGCACACTTCACCATTTTCGTTGCTCCTACAGGAAATTTTCGTGGTCGCCACAAAAATGGCCAAGTGTGCGGGGGCCGGCAACGACCACTCACCACGGAAATTTAAGCTGGCAGCACACTTCACCATTTTCGTTGCTCGTACAGGCAATTTTCGTGGTCGCCACAAAAATGGCCAAGTGTGCGGCAACGACCACTCACCACGGATATTTAGTGGTGAACATGAGTTGCCGAGAATCAAACCGGTTTGATTTCTCACCACGAAAATTGCTTGTGGTGGCAACTTGTGGTGAAGTGTGCTGTGACGCCGCAACGGCCACAAAAATTGCCGACCACGAAAATTGCCTGTACGAGCAACGAAAATGGTGAAGTGTGCTGCTAGCTTTAGTGGTGACCACGAGTTGCCGAGAATCAAACCGGTTTGATTTCTCACCACGAAAATTGCTCGTGGTGGCAACTTGTGG